GGCAGACGAAATCCGCCGGTAAATTACCGACAGATTTCCGGCGGACACTAAAAAGTCAACATTTTATTGACTTTCAACGATTTCCGGTGGATTTCTTAAGTACTCAGTTTAATTTTGAATTTACATCTAATTACAACATTTTACCAGCGGATTTCTGGCGGATTTTTTAATTTTTTCATTAAAAAAAATTAACAATTTTCCGGCGGATAATTAAATATTTTTTTAAAAAAATATAACCATTTTCGGCGGACAAATAAAAAAATTTCTAAAAAAAAGAATAAACAATTTTCCGGCGGATTTCCGGTGGAAAATGAAATAATTTTTTTAAAAAATTTAACATTTCCGGCGGATTTCCGGCGGAAAATTAAAATATTCTTTAAAAAAAATTAACAATTTTCCGGCGGATTTCCGGTGGATATTTAAATATTTTTTAAGAAAAAATATAACATTTCCGGTGGATTTCAGGCGGAATATTAAAAAATTCTAAAAAAAGAATAAACAATGTTCCGGCGGATTTCTGGCGGAAAAATAAATAATTTTTTATAAAAAATTTAACATTTCTGGCGGATTTCCGGATTTATATATTTTAACATAAATAATCTTTTAGAAATATTTTTTTTTTAAAATATTAATATTTATATATTTTTCAGACGGATTTCCGACGGATATATCCGCCGGTATTTTTAAAAAAAAATTTAATTCTTTTAGAAATATAATTTTTTAAAAAAAATATTATTATATATATATTTTTCCAACGGATTTATCCGCCGGTATTTTTTTTTTTAAAATTAATTCTTTTAGATAATATTATTTTTCCGGCGAGAAATATTTCCGGCGGAATTTTCAGCCGGAAAATTTTAAAAAAAAAACTTAAGGATTTGTTAAGTTAATCAAGATTTTTTTTAAAAACGGGCGAAGAATTTCCGGCGGCCGTGATTCGCCGGAAACGGGGAAAATCCGCCGAAAATTCGGCCGGAAAAACAATCACGGGCGCCCCTTTTTCCTGCGGCCAAATCCGCCGGAAATCACTTTTTCCGGCGGATTTGGCCGCCGGAAAAAGTGGGTTTTTTGGTAGTGAAATAAACGCGAACATGGTCATTTTCTTGAAACAAAAAAAATCATAGGAACATCTCAAGCTTATTGGTATATATATAGGGTTGGGATTTTGGTGAGAATATAAGTTATAGTGAGAATGCAAGTTATGATGAGAATAGTTACAAAGAATATTCCACCATTGGATCAATCATAATTGAACATAAACACTGATGCAGTGTAACGAGATACACCAGATCAATTTCCCTAATAAGCATAATTCATGGGATGAAGGTGAGTTAAAAATAATTAAGAATCTAAATTATTTATTACGCTTATCACCTTAACTCATCCTTCGTGCCTAACTCTTTTTTTCTTTTTTCAGATTTTTTGAATTTTATTAATTTTCTTGGTTTTGGAGAAACAAATTGATTTAATTAAATCTTTATATTCACATTTATTAAATTTTTATTGGGTTAATCCATTTGATACATTTTTTCTGTCACAAATAGGTTGTTTATTTTAGTTTTTCAAAAAAATCTTTCGAAACCTTCAATTCGAAATATCATAAAAGCCATCATATTTTAATTCAATTTCAAGATTTAAACATTATTTTAAATCTTTATCTAAACACATATTAACTCTTCAAAATTAAATAAAAATCCAAAAATATTTTCATATATTTGAAATTGCACAAATTTCTTTGCAAGTACAACAAAGAAAAAAAATGTATGAAATATATCCATCATAACGAATCTTTAACCATTGCCTTAATTGCCTACTCATTAGGCCGGCCATAAAAAATCATGCTACAGTAGACATTATATTTTTGCCTTGATATTAAATATGATTATAAAACATGATTATACATTAAATTTTGATTGACTTTTAAAAGGATGTTGCAATTTGAATCACTTTCACGATCGGTGATTACCAATAGTTTTTATTTATTAACCTGTATATCCAATCCGTTATGTGAGCCGACTAATCTTAGGGCGACCACTTGCTTTGCAAATAGCCCGGAGTTATCGCATTTGAACCTACGTGGCCACAAGGAGATTTTTATTTCTTCTTGGATTTGAACCTGAGACCTCCTTATACTTTTGACCTTTGAAGTCAAGCTCAAAACAATCAGGCATCACCCTTGTGGTTAGTTACCAATAATAATAAAATGATTGTTGATGCAATTCATAAAAACGAACTTATACCATGCATGCCAAAAATATATTATAGTGGGCCATCCTCTTATGAAAAGAAGTTCAATTTCATGGCAAACTTTTGGTTGTATACAAGTGGAATTCAATGTGGTCGAATCAGGAGCAAGCTTTAATCTTTGCTATGGCCTATGATCATGGCTTAACCAAAAAATCTTGGCTACTAATTAATTATTGGTTGGGCACCTTTTCAATTCATAGTAACCTATTCCTTTTCTCCTTCAAATAATGCATCAACTCTTTGGAGAACAAGGTTGTTGTCGATCATTGTAAATACATCCAAAATCTTATATAACATTTACTAATTAATGCATAATGGGTAATCTGCCAAGTAACCCGTAGAGAAATTTGAATCCATAATAGCATAAACTCGTAACATGTGGTATTATTAACATGTGGTATTATGAACAAGTTATTAACTAATTATTTTGAAATGAAGTTAAATATGTTATCTGATTAATTGTTAAGATTATTAATCTCCTAGCCACTTTGGATCTTTATAAATTGCAAAGTATCGAAGCATTTGAAACTCTTACAAAATTAAAATTCGAACATGAGTGATCATAAAGGATGCCATATGTTGCGCCATAAATCTATAAGAATTTAAATTTTAAGTCTCATACATATATACATTAAGGGGCTGGTTAGTTGCTGACCAGGCTAACTCGATCAACAATCAGTGTGTTTACCAAGTCACAAATTTGACCGAGATCTGACCGAAATGTTGAATGAGATCTTACGCAACCAACATCAAATTTATGCTTACCTAGTCAGATTTTTGCTTTCTATACTTGCCCTGTCTAAAAGATAAATAAATAGACTAGTCTAAAAGTTACAAAAAATAATAAATAACATAATTTTTAATTATATTGATTGTTAAAGATAGAAACTCGTAAATAAAATGATTATTGTAAGTATAAATTCAATAATGAATTATATTTAGAAAAAAAATGAAAAGTTGGTTTATTAAATGAGAATTTTGATTTAAAAATGAAAGATAAATAGCAATATAGGTATTTTGATGTGCAGGTTTGTAGTTTTTTTTAACCTCATAATATTTCGATTTGGACTGTCAAGTGTATATATTTTGCGGTCTTACGTGAACCCAACCCTATATATACTAGGGATTATGTGAGATCATGTTGTTTTCGTGAGACCCATGAAACCACTTTTTTATGCTGTGAAGGTAACCTTCACAGTCTTTTTGCTATGAAGGTAACCTTAACAATGTTTTTTGCTGTGATAGCTCATATTTTTTTACCTTCACAAAGTTTTACTGTGAAGTTTTATGTGTAAAAATGTAGTCTCACAAGACTTACAAAACATGTTGATTTCACGTGAGTCCTCTCTTATATATATATATTGATGATATACTAATATTGATTGATATATTTATTATACATATGTATTGATTGATTTCTTTTATACATATTGCAAAAAAGCAAGGTAAATAAAAACAAAAGTAAACTAAAAGAATATTTATACTCATCGCACAACACGTGCGCGGTGTTGCTACGTGATACCTAGCGGGTCATAAAACATGGTTTTTTGTGAGTTAAAACAAGAACGGTTAGTTTGATCTCCCAACATTTCCGTATTTAAAGTATGCATTTTGTTTTTTTCTTCCATTAAATTATTAATAACAAAAATAATTACATATTATTCAACATATAATTACAAAATAGGGTTATAATGATCATTTAATTGTTGATAAGCACTTATTAAAAACATTTGGTAAACACTCTTACATGAGACACCACTTACTCAGGTCAGCACTATTACCCGAACAACACTTGGTAAAAATTGGTAAACGACCCCTAAGATGTTTCAATTAACTATCTACCTTCAAGCCAAAATTGAATGTTTATTCTCTTATTTAAACAAACTAATCACATGTTCTATTGGTTTTGATTTAATTAACGCACGAGACTTCTCAATTAATTTCGTCCCCAAGTATTTTAGTATAATTTATATTAACTATATATGTACACATATATGATGGCTGCATTCTCCATGATAATGATATGATATATATGATGTGGAGGGAGTAACTTTTTTTGTTGTTGCATATTTGAAGAAACGAACAAATATATTAAGAATTAACGGATAAAAGATAGACAAAAAGCGGAGAACAAAAAAGAAATTGGAGAAACCACCCAACGACTCCCCTATAAAGACAAAGACTAGACAATTTGAAACAGTTACAAATTAAATAAGAATTCTTGAACGTCTAGAAAAATATCCAAATAGGCGTATTAGTTCCTATTCCGGAACATGGATATTACATAGGATTAATTAAGTACACGAATGCTATTGAAGGGTAGACCGATGGATTTGTGAAGATAGGGGCATCAATTAAGATTGTTAATTACATATGTACTCTTATGCCTTCATGAAATTCCAACTTTCCATGAGGGCATATCTTGGCCAAGCATCAGCACATCATACTTGAAAGTTGCTAATTTTCCGGTGAACATCCACCGTAAACATAGGCCCTAATACCAAGTGGAAGGCAGCATAGGATAAAAGAAAAAAAAGAACACAGGATATTTTAGAATGTGCTGCACCTGAGAATCGGTACGAGCCACATCATTCAAAGTTGCCCCTTTTTCATTACACCATTTTCATTTGTCCATAAATAATGTGTTCATAGGCTTCAATTAGACACTCATCTCATCTCAACTCACAAGAGCTTAAACTCTCACTTAGATAGCTCTTTGAGTTGGGTTAAAAAAGCTATTAGATCGATCGAAGATGGTGAAATTCTCTAAGCAGTTTGAGGGTCAGCTAGTCCCAGAATGGAAAGAAGCCTTCGTCGATTATTGGCAACTCAAGAAAGATATCAAGAAAATTCACTGTGACTACACTTCTCCTTCTAAACCAAAACAAAAAAGCTCTTTAAGCAACACCCTCGTCTCCTCTATACAGAAACTTTCCTTATTTGGAAACCAATGTAGAGAACGTGAAGTCATTCATGTACACACTCTTTCTGAGTCTTATCTTTTAGTTACTGGCTAAACTTTGAACTATATGTGTATCTTCATCCCAGGGTTGCTCCCTGAGGTTGGGCCGGCCTGAGCCCATGGCTAGCTACTTGGTTTAAATATATGTATGGCTTTCCTAATGTGCATGGTTTGGTTTATCTGGTACCAGGTTCACAGTAAACTTGCATCAACAGCTAGTAAGGGAGTTCTATACCAAACAGAATTGTTAGAGCAGTTTGATGGTACTGAAGCAGCTAGTGAATTCTTCGCCCTTTTGGATCTTCAACTTAACAAAGTGAATGAATTCTACAGAAAGAAAGAGAAGGAGTTCCTCGATAGAGGGGAGTGTCTCGGGAAACAATTACATATTCTGATAGAGCTGAAAACCGCACTAAAAGAGCAGCACAAAAATAAAACCAATTCATCGCACCACGACTCCAAGGATGAGGACTTTTTATCGGGCACCATTTCGTGTGGTACGGAAGTAAAATCTTAAAATGGTCAATGTGGTATATTAAATCAAGAAAACAAAAAAGAGAAAATATTCCACCTTTTATGACGCCATTTCATTTTATTTTTGATTTTGGTCATCAAATCAATAGGTATTAATTTTTTCTTTTATCTGGGCACAGATGAAGAATCGAATAGGGGGATTACAGACCAAGATTTGCAGGAAGAGGGTAACATAGAAGAAGAGCTGGACCAAAATGGTACGCAATCTGATGACTCACCAGGATCAGAAGAAGCTGGGAAAATGAGAAGAGCCAAAAAGGAAGAGGAACGTCTCTCGGGTTGTATTATTAACAGCCATGGGAAAAACTTGAAAATCCGCATTCCTCTAACCAACCCGACTCGCGCATTCTCTTATTTACTTTGGGAAGATTTGATCAATCAGTCGTCCAAAAAACATAATGCTCAGGGAAGAAAGCTTCAGATTAATAAAACAAAGCTCCATCATGCGGAAAAAATGATTCGAGGAGCTGTCATTGAACTCTATAAAGGATTGGGCTATCTCAAAACTTACAGGTATTGTTTTGGTTTTGCTACATTATTCTTTCTTGACGAATTTATCATTCTTGAGCCATCATGTAGTTATTTAGAGGTCCAAATCTTCCTTTAATTGTCCCTATCCTACTCCTAAAAGATGTCCATGACAACCAAACATTTGACTTTAATTAGCAATATTACATTCTCTACTGAAATACATTAATATCACAGAGATGAGACAGAATCTTCTTTCATTGTAAACAATCTAAAAACTCATTGACATTAATTAACAATTGATTATTTGCAGGAATTTAAACATGCTTGCCTTTGCGAAGATTTTAAAGAAATTCGACAAAGTAAGACATCGCGTGGCTTTGATTTGCAAGTTGATCGATAAAATCTTTATATTTTTCTCTTGCTAACTAGATTGGATTGGCCACCTTATGTTGTCGGTGCTTTTCTCAGGTCACAAATAAACAAGTTCTTCCAATTTATCTTAAAGTTGTCGAGAGCTCCTACTTCAACAGTTCAAACAAGGTAAGGTGGAAAAAGGAAAATAATCAATTTTAGTAAATTTATTAGTGCCTCATGTCCAAGAGATGATTGCCATCGAGTAGCAGATCTCCCATCTGTGATTAAATTCAGACACAAATGAAGTGGCTTCATTTCACCTGACATCAAGATAATTTATGTGTACGGCAGACTATGAAGTTGGCAGATGAAGTTGAGGATACTTTTGTGAAACACTTTGCAGAAGATAACCGAAGGAAGGCAATGAAATACTTGAAACCGACTCAGCGCAAAGAGTCTCATGCTGTCACCTTTTTCATAGGTGTGTTTCTTTTTCGTTCTTTTCGGTTTTTGAAAAAAAGAAATGATGATCAACATAGACTTTATAAGTAAATAATTGGCCACTAAGAATTAAAGGATTAAGAATTTCAAGATAATATATAAAAACCTGAATAACACATTTTCCAAATCATCTTTCCATTAGTGCGCATTTATGTGGCATATACCTTCCTACTCATGATTGAATTGATACTCAACGATTTTGTTTAAAGAATAGCCCTTGTACATATATTTACCGCAGGGTTTAGTAATTTAAACTTATAACTACACACACACATGTGTGTATATATATATATATATATATATAATGTGTGTGTATGATTTGAGATATGTAACTAATTGGACCAACAATTAAGTTGATACTCACCAATTCACCTATAAGGATCATCTTTAACACACTTACCCAACTCCAAATTCATATCTAACACTTTCTAGTTTACATTTATATTGTTTCCTTTGCTAGATTAATTTGATTATTCTTTTTCAGATTTCTTATATATGTCTATATAATTAGCATCATCGTCTCTTGTTTACTAAAGAATAGTATTTAACAGGAGTTGGGTAGTCAAAGATATAGATCCACTTTTCTAGCTAAAGGTGGCTTGAATAGAGCGATTACAAGCTAGATTTATATAATATATAATAAAACTAATAACAGGCGATTGACCATATATATATCTTTAATTTGACCCTACAAAGATAAAGGCGGCATTTCTGGATTTCCCCAATGTCGTACTTGGCTTTTTTGGTTGCCACTAAACCTTGTGTGGAAAACCAACACAGCATAGATTTCTGGTACATCAATTAAAAGTGTGATCTTTCTCAGCACCAAGTGTTTGTAGAAGCACGAAAACGTTAATTTGTTTGTCTGTTAGTTGCAAGATACACTGCACATTAGGCGGCAAGACATTAGAGGTTAAGGTTCATTTGAACATAATCGAGCATTTAGAAGTAGCTAGATAAGAATAATTTTTAATGTTAGTTTATGGTTTTTATATAGGGCTATTTACGGGATGTTTCATTGCGCTCTTTGTTGGGTATGTCATCATGGCTCATACCACCGGAACATATAGACCACAAACTAATACAATATACATGGAAACTGTGTACCCTCTTCTTAGGTACGTACGTACATCATTTTATACATTAATTAATATCAAAAAGCTAACGAAATAGCGTTGATGATCAGGATGACAGTTTTAGTCTTGGTTTTGCAGCATGTTCAGCCTGTTATTTTTGCACTTTTTCCTGTACGGATGCAACATCTTCATGTGGAGAAAGACACGTATAAATTATAGCTTTATCTTTGAGCTATCACCAACGCAAGAACTCAAGTATAGAGATGTGTTCTTGATCTGTACCATGTCGATGACGGCTGTAGTTGGTGTCCTGTTTGTTCATCTTTCACTGATGGACAAAGGATATTCCTATTCTCAAGTTGATTCCATCCCTGGCCTTCTGTTATTGGTAATCACCTAATAATATATTTATCTAGTCAATTCCCCTAATTCATCAACCTTATTCCATGATCTTAAAGATTCTGAAATTAATGCGTTAATTTTACAGGTTTTCTTGGTATTGCTTGTGTGTCCCGTCAACATCATTTACAAGTCAAGCCGTTATCGTCTGCTTAGCGTACTAAGAAACATCATCCTATCACCTCTTTACAAGGTTGTCATGCTGGATTTCTTCATGGCTGATCAACTTTGTAGCCAGGTAATTAAAACACTACTTTCCATTTAGATTAGTCGATCTGTGAATCCAGCTGCCATTAAAGCTACATGCTTGATGATGTTAAAACCACACTCAACTTCAGATATCATTGAATCTTTTTATACATCATGTCCCAACAAAATGTTAATTAAAGATTGGTTTTCGGGAAACAGGTGCCGATGCTCAGAAACCTCGAATATGTAGCATGCTACTACATAACTGGAAGTTACAAAACTGAAGACTACGGATATTGTGTTCGCACCAAAAATTATAGAGATCTCGCATACGCAGTTTCCTTTTTGCCTTATTACTGGAGAGCTGTGCAGGTTTGGCTAAAATCTGTTTTTTACTTTTGTTTGTAAAAGATACTATTAATTTATATATGATTTATGACTTTATATTAGCAGTACTCTGCTGATATCCTGTTTTAATTCAGTTTTTAAAATAGTTATAAAGATCTATAGTAATAGACATAAGTATCAATTGTTGTGTAGTGTGCTCGGAGGTGGCTTGATGAAGGCGACACAGGCCATTTGATAAATTTGGGGAAGTACGTATCTGCAATGTTAGCTGCAGGAGCAAAAGTGGCATATGAAAAAGAAAGGAGTGTCGGATGGCTATGCTTGGTAGTCATAATGTCGAGCATCGCAACTGTGTATCAATTGTACTGGGACTTTGTAAAGGATTGGGGTTTGCTACAGATCAACTCCAAGAACCCTTGGTTAAGAAACGAGTTGATTCTACGCCGCAAATTCATTTACTTCTTCTCCATGGTATATACATAAATATTTGCCTACAAATCTTGATTGAAGTGATCCATATAAAAAGTTGTATAAAAAAATTGATGAAATTTTGAACTCAATTATCTTGTTACAATTGTTTTTGCAGGGATTGAATCTTGTTCTGAGGCTAGCTTGGTTACAAACTGTCCTACATTACAAATTTGGGAGCATTGATTACAGATTGACAGGGCTATTTTTAGCAGCCCTTGAAGTCATTAGAAGAGGCCAGTGGAATTTCTACAGGTAAAAAAAATACGTACAATCAATTAGGAGTTGGAGAGCATTTGACTTGATAAGAATAAACAGAGTTCATGATATCGACTTTTGAATGGTCCTGCCTGCAGGTTGGAGAATGAGCATCTGAATAATGCCGGCAAGTTTCGAGCAGTAAAGATGGTACCGCTTCCATTCCATGAAGTGGATGAGCAAGATTGATATATATATATATATATATATATATATGCAAATTCTCAACAAGAGTTGATGGTAGAATAGGATTCTTAGACCAATGGTTCACAAGGAAACCTCTGTGTTGATGTATTTTGTTCTTCTTCAACTTCCTTCCTTGTGGTCAGTTAATTGTGCACATGATTCATATTTGTACACAATTTTCTTTCTCCATTTAATGAAACTGTACTGCTTTTTTGGGCCTATTATTAATATTAGAATTTCTTTTGTTATGTTTATTTTTTCATGAACTCATGCATTTAATTAAAGGGATGATTTTGTTGTTCTTCGAAATCATTTGAATAGACAGATGAAGGAAGTAACTGGTACCCACTTAAAAATGTCGATGCCTGTCATAACATTTACCCGTGAAATGGGATTATATCTCATCCAAATAGATCAAGGGGGGTGAGTGCTTCTCCCACTTGACGTACGTACCATTAAGGCAGCTCTAGCAATTCATTACACTTTCCACTTCAATTTACTTTGTTCCTGGTCTATAATTTGTTACCAGCAACCTTTTCAATTGATATATATAAATTTAAATTTCATTTACCGGACCCTACACACACACATATATATAAAGATAAAGATTATATTAATGGATAGACAAAGCTAATCATAATTCAATATTTTAGAATTCCCAATCCATATTGTGTCATTTCATTTCTCTTGGTTCTTATTTTCATATATACAAATATATAAGATAAACAAAACAAATGAAATAAGCATTTCGTATTAATTGTAAAACAAAATAGAAATTGTAACTAAAATTAACTATTTAATCCAAAATGAATTAAGGTAATCATAAATAAAAAACCATGTAAAGAAAAAGTTGTCATCCTTTTCTTTATATAATCACCTCCAATGTTTCAACATATCATCTTTTTATCAATATGAGATGGACAAAGTTAATTACAATTCAATATTTTGGAATTTTCAATCTACATTGTGTCATATCATGTCTTTTGGTTCTTACTTATAGATTATTGATATATAGATTATATATTTATAGATATAAAGATTTAAAATATGTTGGATACATTCTTATGACTTGTACAACTAGTTAAAGTGGTAAAATAGTGAGAAAAAAATCCGGAAAAAACCTCAATGAACATTCATATTTTGAACGATAAAGTGGTAAAATAGTGAAAAAAATCCGGAAATATATTTTGTCAGTGATTTTTTAAACTAAAAAAATAAAAAAATTATAAAATATATTATTTTTAATTAAAATAAATTTCACCAGTAATCTTTTTAATTTTTTTTAATTTAAAAAATCACATACACGATATATATATATATATATATATATATATTAATTAAAATAAATTTAATAATAATTATTTTTTTTGTTTGAAAAATCACCGACAAAATATATTTATATTTTAATTAAAATAAAATTTATAAAAATCTTTTTTAAATGTAAGTACTTTTTTGTTATATTTGTTTAATTTTATAGATCTAAATACTTTTTGGTTCAAAAAATATTTAGGGGCTTAATCGTTCAAAATATGAATGTTCATTGGGTTTTTTCTGGATTTTTTTCACTATTTTACCACTTTAACTAGTTGTACAAGTCATAAGAATGTATCTAACATGTTTTATAAAAGTTCAAGAAGTTATTTAACATGTTTTGGATTGTTCAAGAACTTATTTGTTCCAAAAATTATCCAAGGACTTATTTAACATTTTTTGGAATGTTCAATGACTTATTTAACATATTTTGGAATGTCCAAGGACTTATTTGTTCTAAAAAATTATCCAATGACTTATTTAACATGTTTTGGAATGTTCAAGGACTTATTTGTTCCAAAAAAAAGTTCAAGGACTTAATCATTCCAAACAAGAAAGTTCATTGGTTTTTATTGTACTTTTCTCTATGTGTAATTTATATATAAAAAGTAAATGAAAGGTTCATTCATTTAATGATATGTTTTTATTTTAAATAATTGAAAATTTGGAAAAAGTAGCAACTAATAACTTTAACATTCATAGTCCCAACACTCGAAAAGAAACAGATACAAGTCCTAAGAAAAAGAATTTATCCAAAACTCAATCTAATATTTTCAAATTAAGCAAAAAAATAACTTAATTGATGTAATCTATTGTGTGTTCAATTACAACTTGTAAGAATTCAAAGCAAACGAAGCTAAGAGATGAATGCCGGTTGTTAGAACCAATGTTATCGCACCGGAATTTTCACGAACTTGTGTATATGTTAATGCATACACGTTTATACAACAAATTCTTATCAAGTAAAGTAAGAAACTTACTTAGAATCAACGATTGAACGGTAAACAGATAGAGGCATGCTACGCAGTGTTCTTAAACAGAATTTCGCCCCCACTCGTGCGTAGTCTGAGCGATTGTTCAAAGGATACAACTATCTAATTCGCATTTTTGCACGAGAACGTGAATTTGGAGGGAAACCAAGAATATATATACTTTTGGCAGTTTTCCAAAATTTTCCACGAACAGAGGCCGGTTGGCACGGGTGCCGAGAGTCTGTTGTTCCAAAGAAACAATGTGCGGCCACTGTTGTTCTCAAGGCCCTATCTTTGACCATTTAATGTATATGTGTCAAGCACCAAGCCCAATCCATGTGTTAGAAGGAGTTGGTCCAATTTGATAAGGCTTATGGAGCTAGACTTGTAAGCCTCTCCAAATTTCCCTATCCTTCCTATGTGAGATCAATTAGCATGGTAAAATCCCAACACCGGTATCATCTCAAATCAAATATAAAAGCATGAATTATCTAACAATGTGTTTAACTTTTTAAGAACGAAGTTGAATTGATGAATGAGAAAACTAAAACACTAGATCATTGAGGAAACGGAATCGCACAGCAGGGGATGCTGCTAAAAAGTTGAGGCAAAATGGAGAAACTTACTCGAAGACTATCCCGATGGTTTCTGAGTAAAGAAATCTCAGCTGCAAAGTGGTTTGAGTATTCAAGTCACAAATGGCTTTTGAGGTGTCGAATTCAATGGTGAGTCAGGTAATAGCGTTGAAGAGAGAGTGGTTGAGTACGCTAACAATTGATTGATCGATAACGTACTGTTCTTCAATAAGCAGGATTGGGTTGCGTGGAACGGGGTTGATTGTCGGCAGTGGATTTTGGTTATAGTCGGGGGAGGTTCTTTGATGGTGCCATCGATATACCCCGAAGTTTTTGGCTATGAAGCGATGGTTTGAATTCATGGAGCCAAACCAGATACTTGGAATCATAAGTTTGATGAATTGGGCATTGGTATGAAGAGGAAGAGTGGAGAAAGAGGACATTTGAGAGGTTAGAAATCAATGCATAAGAGGAAGAAACCCACGAGGTAAGATCCTATACTCTGATACCATGTTGAAAATATAATTTCCATTTATTTGTGAGTCTACAAAGTTTATAATATATAGGGCAACTGTTCCAAAATCACAGTTTGCTGTATAAATTAAGCATAATCAAAACTGATCTTAGATTTAAGTTATACAAATACATGAATTAGTTGTACTTGAAATCTATATTTTGATTCGAACTTAGTTTATGCAGGCAACTAGGTGCTTTATTGAAATGTGCATCTCGAAGTAAATAGCCCATCAAACTTGTAGTTTTTCAAAAAGTTTGGTAAGTAGACGTCATATGAAGTTTAGGATGAAAGCCCATACTACAATAAGAAAAATGGACCCTTCTGCTTTGCCAATTAAGTCCATTGTCCATTTGATTAGCTTGGAAGCATGCTTCTCAGAAGTGTTCGAAACCTTTTCCATTCAAGGGTCGTTTAAAGGATTTAATCCCACGTTCTAAGAGCTTAATTATACTAATTATATCATGTCTTTGTTGTGTCCGTGTTTTCAAAACGGGGGTCAGCATCCCTTACATAGATTGTACTTGTTCAAAATCATTCACTGTGGTTATTCTTGGTTTTTGTAGTTTCTTTTTGCTGTTATGAAAAACGGGTGTGTACATTTGTTATCATAATTGAGCCACAACAATGCTTCAAATGCAACCAAATAACAAATCTAATCCCCGGTAGCAACTACAGCTCATTAAAACTGATCAAATTTAAACAAATTAATGCAATAACGTCAAGCAAGCATCTAATCTACAAACAGTAATATATGGAAGCCATCAAACGCATGCATCAACTTAAAGTAAAGAAGGAGAGACTAGGTAACATTAATGAGATTTACGTGGAAATCCAAAATGGGAAAAACCATAGATAGAGGCGGTGAAAGAACCTAGCTACACTAGACGTTGATGTTTATGCATGTTTGATACACAAGGAGATAAGTGTAGTTATATTGAGAGGATACATCAATAATAAAAGCCCTAGAAATCCCATAAAACCCCCTCTCCGCTTGTGATCCACCTTGGAGGTGAGCTCGAGCTCACACTTTCAGCATCAATAGTTTTAATGCATAAGATATAAAAACTGTAGAAATCGAGTTGGAATAAAAGCAATATACAATTACAAGTAAATTAATTGGACTACTACTAATTAACTATATGCATCAAATCCATTAAATATTATCATTTCTTTTTCTCTTAATTACTTTTGGATTTATTGACACAAACAAGTAGAATTCGAGGCTAATGAATTAGTGAGATTTGCTCATCCTCAGTGCTACATAAGCCAGAAGCCTGTACCCAACCAACATTACACCCAAAGCGGCCACATCCCACCACAAGTGACCGATACCCAGATACTTGATCCCTGGAAAATCTACAACCCTACACTCAGTGCCTATCCCGCACCTATAAACCTCATTTTCGCTGTATTGCACTTCCACTAACAGCTTAAAACAATAATGGCTAAATGAGATGTATTTCAACCAACTGATGAATGATGGAATTTGTTGAATATAGTAACCACCTGCAAGTAAAAATACTAGCATGATCACTGATGATAAGGTGGTTGCTTGTTTTAGGTCCATAAGTATGGCTCCCAGGGCTAGTCCAAGTCCTTGTGACACGAGCACGTTGAAAAGAATGATTAGAACTGTTAGCACAAATGTGGTGAGTGAAGGTTTGAGGCCACCCATCCAATAGGTAATTGTTACATAAACTGTCGGGAGAACGAGTTCCATCGGCAAGTCCCCTGCCATTCTAGCGAAGTAATAAGAGGATAGACGGTACATTGCAGAAGATCGTTCTCTTGTTAGCATTGGCCGCTCTTGAGGGAATGTGAATATGGCATTGGATAGAGGGTAAAACCCCCAAAATATTGAAAAGAAGAAGAGAAGTCCCACCTGCATATCATATACTCAATCAGTAAGTATTTCAAGACCAATATAAAGTACTAATATTGATATATTGGGACGATTTAAGCATCAAACTGAAATGATCTAAGCATATATTAATTTTCATCTTGAAGATCAAGTCCAACGAATTATGTTTTAGATGAAGAAACAACCACACTTGGAAATGGAAAACCCCTTTCGGCCATTCATGCAATGATTTCTTTTAAGGGTATTCAAAACTTGTTAATTAAAAATTAATTAGAAGTTCATGAAACATGTATGAACCATTATTTACAACCGTATTTTGAAGATAGAATAATAAACTTAAACTAAAATAGACAACTATTAAGTGATAAAGGTCATAGTATGTATAGGTATCATCGATCCACAATTAATAAGCAAAATTAAACCAAGTTTCAGGGGTGCAAAACAACAAATTAAAGGACAATCGTGGTACCTGATCTTGCAAGTGTGATGTATCAGAATGCCACCACAGAAGACCTGATAAGATTGAGACAGACATCACTTGGAAGATTCGTAAACCCGAGTACGATTCGTGCCTCCTCTCTCTCAGACCTCTTTTGAACAACACTTTAAATTGTGTCCACCAACTTGTGGTCCATATGTTGTCACAACCTGCAATTGCGCACCACTTATATATTTATCTTTGCACCAAACTATATTTCCTTTACAAGCAAAAGTTATTAAGATCACAACACAAATCCTTTCTATTATACTTTTCAATACTTAACCACCTCCATGGCCTAAATCTTGTGAAAAAATTAAATGACTAACGAAAAGAGGATGTTGATATCAACTTACGTCTTGAAGATTTTGGTCCTCCAATAGCACGAGTTGTGTCATGGATATTTCTATGGATGTCGTCCTTAATGAGGGGGTGAAGGGTTTTCTTGTAAGAAGATATTAGGAACTGTTTCACTGAGTTGCGATCTTCCGGTCTACCTTGATTATATTGTTGATGATCCTCTGGGTTTGTAGAAGGAGCCACACCTGTAAAAGATAAAAATTATATGGATATATCTCAAAGAGTAAAGTTTCAAGAATCAGAAAAGCTAAGAGATTTTTAAATGTTAAAGTTAAATAATTAAGGGTCTGGACTGACACCAAATAATTATTTAGTGAATTAATACCATAGTTTTACAATTTGCAGTTGCATTATATTAATATTTATCTTTGGTTTTAATAAGAAGAATACGAGAACAAAACATTGGCGTACCATTGGCAAGATCAAGCAGAAAATCAGCAGGATTCATCAAGTTAAACCCGGGCACATACCCAATGGAAGCAAGATACTCCATAACCCGGCTAGCCTGCCCACTGTAAATCGGGAAGCCATCAGATAACACGACGACCTTATCAAACATCCAATACAACCTACTTGATGGTTGATGGATCGTGGTCACCACACTCCTCCCTCCACGAGCCAACCCTTTCAATGTGGCCATTAGCCGTAGAGCCGTGGTGGAGTCCAGGCCAGATGTGGGCTCATCCAAAAGCAAAAGGCTGGGGTTCACCAACATCTCTTGTCCAATACTAACCCGCTTTCTCTCCCCACCTGAAACCCCACGTATAAGTGGCCCTCCCACGATGCTATTACGGCACTTACTTAGCCCGAGTTCCACTATGATCAGCTCAGCTTGCTCTACTTTCTCTTCTAGGGTCAAATTCTTAGGCAACCTCAACAGCGCAGCATAGGTTAAAGTTTCTAAAACCGAGAGGTGTGGATATAATACATCATCTTGTGTTACAAATCCAATTTTTCTTTTCACCGAGCTTGAGAAGGGCTGGCCACTGTAGGTTATGCTGCCCGAAGTCTTTCCGGGAAGTCTACCACCAAGGGCAGTTAGTAAGGTGGTTTTTCCACTCCCTGATGGTCCAAGCATGGCTAGTAATTCCCCTGGTCGGACTACTCCACTAACTCCATTGAGAAGGGTCCGGGTTCTCTTTGATTCAGGTGAAGTAAAACAATGGTCATCTCCAGATTGCAAGTTTATAGTGTAAGCCAAATCCTCAAACTACAAATTCACAAACCAAAAGCTTATCAATTATTTAACCAAAAGTTTCGATCTTCTTATGCAAATTTTCCAACTTTAATCATCATTAATAAATCAAAAACATTAGTAAAGCTTGCGCAATTAATTAACAGAAAGTGTGACTATTAACTAATTATAGATATGTGTTTTGTATAGTACCTTGAGTGTAATCGGGCGTAAAGATTCGCGTAAAAAAGGCAGCTGTGATGGTGTGGATTGATTTTGATTTGCAACTGATCCAGATTCGAAGGTAGGGTCCATGTTCTTAGTCGTCGACTCCCTGGGTGGCTCGGCATGAACTGTGGACTTGTCCATAATAATTTTTGTGTTAACATGAGATCTAGTAGCAGCTGGACTTTCTGCAACACCAGAAATACTGGGCTCAAGCTCGAGAAGTGGCATGTTAATATACAAAGGGAAGAGAAGAGAGAGAAATATTATGTGAAAATGGGATTAGAGCATGAGAAAGGTAGATAGGTTCACATGCAGGGAAAAGGAGAAACGGGGGAGCATTTAAAGAGAAAAAAAGTGATGTGGATGAGTCATCAGATGGCTACAGGAGTCTAAGGCCAGGGGCAGGGGTGATGCATCATAGTTTCTTACTTTAAATTTCACTGAGACCAACTCTAACAACAATATAAAGAACATGTCATTTTATGTTTCTTATCACAAATATTAACATTAAAAACACATTTTTTTATAGTTATGATAATAATAATAAAAATAATAATATCTCTTTACTATAATTTTAATTGCAATAAATTATAGTAGGAAAAGTAATTGTTTGTTTAATTTTAAAATATGTTATAAAAAATTTGCACATAAATCTTAATAATTATTATATTACTAATTAAAAGAACATCATATATTCACTTCTAAAAATTAGTTAAATTTATTGTTATTGTGATATTTTCATTTTACATCATAATAAATTAATTAGATTTACATTACAATTTAAGAAATAAAATAAAATAATTACTAAACTTAATAAGTATATTAGTTCATATATAAAGTATTAATAGATATATTAACTAAAAAAGTAAACAAATTAATGATTTGCAAGATGGTAAAACAAAAAATTGAAGTTGCTCTCAGTATAATAAAACTTTACATTTTAATTTAACGTAATTAATTGATTAACAAAGTAAATGTAAATAAAATACGTACTTACGAGTTTTCACTAATTACTTGATCAACCGTTTGGATTTGATTAATTTTTAAACAAATTGAAGGTTTAAATTTCACACTAACATACTATATATTTTCTGAAAATATATAAGTACTAAAAATTTAACGTTATGAAGCAATGGAATTTCTATTGTAATCTGAATTGTGATATGTATGTAGGATGTTAATCATAAGGACCTTCAAAATTATGAATTTAGATTGAGCATTCTTTGTGTTCTTTTTAATGAAAATAAAAAGGTGGTGCCTAATTGGTTTGAGCTTGTACCTGGAGGTTTCAGGTTTAAATCCAAGGAGGAATAAAAAAAATTTGTGGCCAGGAGGTTCAAATGCGGTGACTCCGGGCTATCTGCAAAGCAGGTGGTCTTCCTGAGATTAATCGGCTCGCATAGCGGGTTGGATATCCAGGTTAATAAAAAAATAACCACTGAAATGTTGAGGAAAGTCCTTTTACTTGAGCATATTTCTAATGCTTCTTTTTTAACATTCTAATAAGTATATTTATTAATTAATTGAAAATGCAGTGATTAAACTAATTCAATTCCGTTCACCGAATAAATCAGAGTTTGTCGTTTTGCAACCCAAAAGAGATTATTAAACATTGACTAACAGTTCAAACTATTATAGAATTCTCCTAATCGTTCAAAATATTCTATATACATTTTAGTTAAGTCATAGAAATTGTTTGATTTTAGGTTTATCAAATCTTTCAAAGATATTATAAACCGTGGAATTATATGATTGTTATCATATTTAAGATTGGATTGAAAATGTATACTTGGAATACATGGACTAGAATTTAATTTTAAGTTATTAAATAGAAATTTTAATTACTATTTGTTTGAAGATAAGTTGAATGGATGCAGTTTAATTAATGGAAAACTCTTATAATTTTAAAATCATCATTAATGGAGAAACTTTAATAACCATTTGTCTCTAAAGTGTGCATACGTATATACAAGTTATGAAGATGTTTTCTAGTTTTTTTGTACGTATGCATGTTTTGTATATATGCATACTGAAAAAATTACTTATAAAATTACTAAGTATTCCTTAGTTTTTCAATTTTTTTATGGTTTTCCTTTGAATACATATATAGAGAGAGACCTCAATAAATAGAAACTAAAGAACACCTTTGTTTCTTTTGGATCAAAAGGATGGTCATGATCTAAATACACTTGTAAATTTTGAAAGGATAGGAGGCATTATGGGGAAAAATTGCAAAATTCATACCATAATTATAGTCAGAATCATTGCTGGAGTACTTCCAATGGCAGATGATGGTAATAAGTTTTTAATACCCACAGACGATCATGAAGAAGAACATAATTTTTTTTATTAAAGTTTAACTTTCTTTCCTGTTTTCAAGATTCACAACAGCTAATAAAAAAGACCGACTATCGAAAATCATTCTTTATTTTATGGGACTGTGAAATTTCAAGACCCCTACTAACTATTTGATTTTTTTTCTATTTGATGAAATGCTTGAGTGAAAATCCAATTTAAGCATCGCAGAAAATGAATGTTTTTGGGGTTTATGCACATACGAATGTAAGGAGGAATTCAAGCCTTCATTTTGTTTATATGTTTTTTTTTTCACATACATGAATAGACATGAAGAATTTAAGCATTCATCTTTATCTCCCTACTCTAGTTTTTTGTGTTTTTATGCACACATGAATATGATGAGTACGGTGTCTCATTCACATGTTCATGTTAAATATTGAAAGACATTGAATATGATATCTCATTCACATATGCATTTAACTCGGAAGATTGACGGACATTGAATAATGTGATTCATTCGCAGTGCATACAACCCTGAAATGAAGAATCGTGAATACGACGACTTATTCACATATACATATAGCCTAGAAAATAAGGAAGGTTAATAAAACGATTCATTTGCATGTACATACATGATACAACCCAAAAGTCGAAAGATGATGAATGCAGTGCATGCATCCCAGAAGTTGAATGAAAAAGTCAGTTACGAAATATATTATTTATAGATTGTTGCAAAATGAATCTAGATTTTTTTAGATGGTAAATGAAATTTCCATAAATTGTGGTAACTTTTTTGTATTTAAGAATTTTAATAAATGGAAATGATGATCTCTTGATAAAATGTACCATTTGCCATTTAATAAATTGTTAAATTGTTATCTTTTAACAATGTTGGATTAGAACTAATCGGGTGTTATTATAGTGTTTCTTATTTTTTCATTTTTTTTTTTTTTTTTTGCAGTTTTCCTCTGAATCTAACCCTATGACCATATGGCAAGGTCCCATGCTAAGGGCACGTGAATAACTTGTGATTTTGTACGCGATGTTAGTGTAAAATCACATATAATTAGACCATTCTCTTATTTTATTTTTTAAATATGTATCATTCTCGTATGAACCTGACTCACTCTCTCTCTGTATATATATATATATATATATATATATATATATTTCAATGTTTAATTTGATTCATTATTTTTTAAGCTTTAAATCACATATAATAGGAAAACTTTCTGAAGAAAACAATTGGTAGCCTTAATGTCCCTATATATATAATGAAAACATAATTACATGTGATGTGTAGCAAAACACATTTGAAATGTATAAGATCACATGTACTTCAAAACGTAATTTGTAATTTGCGCATATCACATGTAATGTTGTAGACAACTTATATTTATTTTCCACTATAATCAATATCACATATGATACATTGACGAACATTAACGATTCTTTTTTGAAAAAGAAAACGTCGATTAATTGCGGATATCATATATGATTTTTGACAGAAATTGTTAAAAATTTCTTAAATAAACTACTTCAATAAAATTATTAGGTATGATAACATTGTAATAATTGTGTGATACGTGAACCTAATGAACCAAAACAATGTGTGTCGTCGGGTATAATCGTTTGATAATTGATAGGGTTGAGATACAGAACAAATTGCAGTCATATTAGGGATAATCGTCTAATAATCTATACACAATTGAGATGTGATAATCATGTGATTGTGAAACCTAATCGAATCGAACAGATTGTAGTCCAACCCAAATACGAATCGTATCATATGAAAACTGTTTGCTACCTGATTCGTCATTGGATTATCACATGATTATCACACCCAATCGTCCAATCAAGTTGACAAGTTAACTATAGTCAAACCTATAAATTGTACTTGGCATTCTTGTGATAATCATGTGATTATAAAGTCTAATCGAATCGAGCAGATTGTAGTCCAACCCAAATACGAATCGTATCATGTGGAAATCGTTTGCTACTCTATTCGTTGTTGGATTATCATATGATTAGCACAACCAAATCATCCAATCGAGTTGATAAGTTAACCCTAGCTCGAACCAATAGATTGTAGTCATCATTCTTTTGATAATCGTGTGATTTCTCTACCCTAATCGAACCAAACAATCTTCAAATCGAGTGATAATATGAGCGATTGATGTTCTAAGAATGGTAGATTAGTGATAAGCAAACCTTGAATGAACCGTCTTTGCAAACTTCTCCCTCAATTGTCTTGATGTTCGATTTCTTCCTCCAAAACTTACGACACCTTCTTCCTCTATTGAGATAACCGATAACCATAGTAGCCCCTGATGTTATCAATTCCCAGATGATTGGAGTCTTTTTTGATTTTCTTTTTACAATTTTATCACTTTGGATTCCAAGATTACCCTTCCGTCTCTCAAAACATTTTGAATTTTTTTTAATGTTATTGTTATCACAATATGAGGTTAGTTGGCTCTTCTCGCATTCTCTTAAATCACAGAGGTTTTCGTTTGAACCATTCCATATATATATATATATATAAGTTTAGCTGTAAACCTGGGACAAATGAGAGCATGACACGTGCTCTAATAAACACGTAATGCGCTCTCACTAGTCTATGGTGCGCAACGCAAATCAGCTTCACAACCGAACTTGACCCCATATATAGGGTTGTTTTAGACGAGAACACCACCATTTTAAAAAATAATGCAAGAACACCTTTTAATTTATATAGTCAATCACATGTAATTAATGAGTATTTTTAAAATTAAAATCAAGGTGTGTAGGCCACTTGGCAAGCGAATCAGGAAGCGACCAATATTGCCCGACTCTCTGATATGATATCACATGTAACTACATCATCCCTTCTGATACACGTGTTCTCATATTCGTAAATTGGCCGACATCCAACATGATCATCCATATAT